CCTGGGTGACCGCAAGCAAGTGACTTCCTTCGCCCCCCTGAGCCTCCTCATCTGTGATGCGGGCGACATCTGGGATGCAGTGCTCCCACCTCCCACCTCGGTGGCTACCGGGTTTAGATGCTGTAATTCGCAGAGCATTTAGCACAGCACCGCCGGGAGCACACAGCCTGTAAGCTGCTTTATTGTCCTTTAAATCTCGTGAGGACAGAGGTTGGCAGCAGGTGGGCACACAGAAATCATTCCTCCCCCCCACACCCCACCCCCGTCCTCGCCACGGTGGAGCCGCAAGGAGGAATCCTAACTTGTGCCCTCTTGGCCTTGTGCCCTCAGAGGGAAAAGAGCACATGGGGCCGAGGGCCCCAGGCATGTGGGGATGGAAATGGTGGCTTGGGTGTCACCAGACTCCTCCCGTCCTGACCCTACTTCTGCCCGGGACTGAGGCCAGTTTAAGTAGATTCCAGTGGGGCAGTGAGGACGGCTGGGCCAGCTGCTAGAGGGCCGAAGGGGGAGGGCCCGGGACACTCAGCTCCAGTGTCCCCTTGCGATGTCAAACGGGGGCCCAGGGACCCAGGAGCCTCCTGCGGAGAGGGGTGGCGAGAGGGTACTCCGACGGGACTGTCTCTGCCCTCGCCCTGGTTCGCCTTCCAGCTTCTTTTTGGTCAAGACCAGGATCTGTCTGAGCTGCTGCTCTCAGCGCTGAGGATGGGGTGTAAGGCCCACCCCGAGTCACCAGGGACAGAGGCACCCACAGGTGCCCACAGCTCCCATCACGCACATGTGGACGGCTCGAGCTTAACAGCCAGAGTTTGGTCCGCTGCCAGGGAGGTTCACTCCCAGCATGCTCCTGCCCTTCTGGCCAGTGCCACCTGCGATTGCTCCAACCGCAACCGGAGCATCCCCACTGGGAGATCTCCCGTTCGCCAGGCAGCCTCCCTGTTCCTGGCAGGAAGAGCTCTCTGTGCCTCCCGGGCCCTTGATCATGAACCTCAGGTCTACACGCTGCACCCCACCCCACCCCTCTTGACTGCGAGCTCTGAAAGCCACATTGTTTGCCTTCGTCCCTCGGCCCCTGTGAACTGCCTGGCACTTGGCAGGGCCATGTCTTCGTGGGGCCAGCAAATGTCCATGGGCTCCGGGAATGCTGACTGCTGTGTTATCAGCCAGAGATGACCTGGCAAACATCCGCCCCCAAATCACACGACCGACACTCTCCCCCTGCCCTCACTTTCCCAGCCACTTCCAATTCGCACCTTAAATTCCCGGCGAAGAACCCAGGTGTGTGTAAGGAAAAGCAGCGGAAGTATCATGGCACGCACCCCAACAATTCCTGGGTGCCTGGTCTAAACGTGTGCCAGGCCCCACAGCATCCTCGTCCCTGCTCCTCACGGGGGCAGGTGACAGGGTTACAGGTGCCTGTATCTTTAAGGACGGCTGCTATGAGGCGACTCTGCGCAGACAAGCTAGGTCTGGGAGGGAGGGATTCCTTGCACAGAGCAGCAGTTCTCAACCTTCCTCATGCCGCGACCCTTTAACACAGTTCCTCATGTTGTGGTGACCCCCAACCATAAAATTATTTTCATGGCTACTTCATAACTGTAATGTTGCTACTGTTATGAATCGTCATGTAAATACCTGATATGCAGGATGCATTTTCATTGTTACAAGTTGAACATAATTAAAGCATAGTGATTAATCACAAAACAATATGTAATTATATATGTGTTTTCCGATGGTCTTAGGCGACCCCTGTGAAAGGGTCGTTCGACCCCCAAAGGGGCCGCGACCCACAGGTTGAGAACCGCTGCTATAGAGACTTCCTGCCTACCCTAAGCATTCAATCTAGTTGGGGGTGGCGGGAGGGAGGGAGCACCACCAACTGTAATTCCAGCTGCAGCCAGGTGTGGGAGCCCCCACAAAGTCAAGCTAAGGACTCTCTGCAGACTAAAAAAAAAAGGAAAAATATGCCCGTCCATTTTCCCTCTTTCCATCCCCTTCACCCTGAACTGAAATACTTGGTTAACCATGCCACGCCCTGCTGTTATTGGCCCAGCCAGTACGTGCAAAACACACACACACACACACACATACACACACACACGCACGCATAGACACACACACACACACACACACACACGCACGCCAGTCTGACTCTCTCTGACCCCACCCGAGCCATCTGCTCTCTCAGGCCTGTGCTTGCTCCTCTCCTAAACACACAGGCCTCAGACTGAGTGGCCCAGAGCAGGACCTTGGAGCCAGCTGTCTGGATTCAGATCCCGGCTCTGCCACTTACCAGCTGGTGACCCTGGGCTAACGACAGCTCCTCCGAGCCTCCTTGCCTTACTTTTCCATGGGGGCTGCCCATTCGCCGTATTGCTGTGGGGAGCACACATGCACAGTAGGGAAGTGCTGAGAGCAGTGACAGCCACTGTTATTGTCATTGGAACTGTCACTGTGACGGTGAGTCGCCTTCCAGGCTTCTGTGGTTCTCTACACACTCGCAGACCCACTCCCGACTTCGCACAGGCGCGCTGCTGTGCCCGCACGCACATGTGCACACAGATGGACACACTGTCGCACCCGGAGCTGAGCCGACACAGAAATGCACACGCACATGTGCAGAATGCTGACCAACCTCTCTTCTGTCAGGAAACCAAGGCCTGCAGTCACCCAACACCCCTCTAGACACACAAGTCATCGCTCACGGGGACGAGCAGAAACGGAGCCCAAGACTGGCTGGCGGCTGCACAGCAGGCCTGGACCTGCTCCCCCAAACCTCCCTCCTCACCCCCTTGGCCAGAGTTCCCCAGTGGGAGGATGACTCCCAGGACACGCGTGGGAGTCTGAAGTGAGAAGAGCCTCCCAGACAGCTCACTGAGGCCGGCTGGCACACAGTCGCCAGGAAGGGACTGGCCGAGCCCAGGCCCAGAATCCAGGCCTCCTGACTAACTCTGGGCTTTCTCTCTGCCCCAGACTGGCTCCTCCCTAGACTCCGTGCTTCCTGTGGGCACAACCTATTGTGCATATGACCTCTGATGCCTCGGGTGCCCGGCCTAGAGTAGATGCCCAGTAGGCGTGGGATGAACAAATGAATGAGCGAATAAGTGAATAAGTGAGAGGGCAGTGACGGAGTCCCAAACAGATCTTGCTCCTATTGCTTCCCCAGTGCTGGTCCCAGGGGACAATGCTCAGGGCAGCAGCACAGTCGTGCTGGCCCACACTGCCCCGGTCGAGCCTCCAACACGGGCTAAGACATCTCTGGGTGAGAGCTCACGGAACCCTCTTTTTGAGCCCCCAATTCTCCAGAGTCCCGGGCAAGGCCAGGATGCACACTCCTCTGGACCTTGACTCAGAGTCCCCTCTGCTAGACACAGGGATGGGGCTGAATACAGCCCTGCCTGCCCCTCTTCAGGGCGCCGCATGCTCCGGGGCCGGGCCTCTGGATCTGAGCACGAAGCAGAATTGGCCCCTGCACCGTCCCATCTCCGGGTGCATGTCTCCAATGTGGCACAATAAAGTGATAAAGTGACCAAGTGAACCGCGGCACAGCCCCTGAGCCCCGCACCCCTTCCGGGGCTCTCCCAGCCTCTGAGAGAACACGGGCCCCGCTCAGCACCCGGGTAAGAGTTGGCGCCACTTTCTGGATCAGGCAGAGGTCAGCTCCTCCCCACGCAGAGAAGCCAGGCCCGGCCAGTGGCCTTCCGCTGCGCATCCTCAGCCGGCCATTCGCGATTTGGCCACCCCCACCCCGTCCTTCCAGCCTTGTCTCTCAGTCCTCCCATACGAGAAGGTGCCACTGCAGCCTAACCGGGTCCTCCCAGGGCCCCCAACATGCCCGCCCCTATGCCCAGTCCAGGGTCCCTCCTGCCCTGGCTCGGTTCCCCCCTAACACTGTCTGTTCTCCCTGGCTCTCAGGGCTCACCTCCCGCATGGAACCCGCCCCAAGCACAGAAACCTCCCTGCCCTCCCTGCTGCCCTCACCCCCTCAGCCACCCCTTCCCTGGTCTCCAGGACCCCTCTCCTGGGTGCTGCTCCCAGCTTTGGCCCCTCTTAGTCCTTCTCCAAACCCCTTTCCCTCTTAGCACCCCCCCACCTGGCCCCCCGCCGGGGCTGTTTCCTGGCTCTGCCCTCAGCCTCGGTTCTCCCCACCCCACACGGGGACTTGGGTGACATCACCCACTTCTGTGGCTTCCATGACTCCCAAATCCTGTCTCCAGCTGAAATCTCTCCTGAGCTCTGAGGCCTCCATGTGGACAGCCCCAGAACCACGAGGTCCCTGTGTCCAAATCTCAGTCCATGTTCCCTTCAAACCATTCTGTGACGGCACCGCCATCCAGCCAGAATGCCGGGCATCAGCAGAGGCCCCCTCCAGCCTGTCACAGCCCAACACCTCTTGGCTATGTCCACCTGACCCACACCCAGAGCTCCCACCCGGGTCCGAGCCACCAGGGCGCTCTCCTGCTGGTGCCTGCACGTGGTCTTTCTGCTGTGAGTTCTATGCCCTCCGATCCACCTTCCACACAGCAGCCAGAGGGGTCATTCAGAAAGACCAATGTATCCCGTCACTTCCTGTTTCAAAGACGCCGGTGGCTTACCCAGCTTTCGGATCGAGCTCCAACCCCTGAGCTTAGCCCCAAGGCCCTCCGGGACAGGGGCCCAGGGCCCGCCTCGCAGCCTCCCTGTTACAACATGCAACCAGCGCAGAGCTGTCTGAGGCCTCCTCGGGGCCTTGGCACGTGCTGGCCACTTGGCTGGGAGGCCTTTCTCCTGCTCTGTCCCCCGGTGGCCCTGCCCATAACGCAAGGCTCAACTCAGAACTTGGAGGGCACTTCCTCTGGGAGCCCCGTCTGCCCCCCCACGCAGAACTTCACACCCTGGAACCTGCCTGCCTGCATCACCGCGTGCAGCTGCTGACGGTTGGCGGGGGAGCCCTTGCACCCAGGCTCTCCTGCCATGACTGTGGGTGTCCAGGGGAGGGGTGTGGGGTGCAAACCCAACCTTACCTGCCTCTGAGGGCCAGTGGGATCCGACTCTCTCCGTCGAGGGCGGGGTCCGGAGTGCAAGGGTGAGTGGGAAGGGCTGCCGGGCGTGGGGGGCTGCGACGTCTCTGATCGCCCATCGGCCTGGCTCAGCTGGGGTGGTGGGAACTGGCACGGTGTCTGTCGCAGGTCCTCCTCGGCCAGC